CAAATATCAACGTTGACAGTCAAATATTCACATTTTTATTGTCGTAAGTGTTTATGGACTCAAAATTTCCATTAATCAGTTATTGCAATTTTATTGTAATATCAGAATCAGCATGAAAAAATAATCCACATCAATCGGGCCCTAATTAACACACACAAAACCAAAGCTTCATTTAAAAAAAAAAAAAAAAAACAACAACAGCAACAACAACAACACTGCAAAATGTGATCTTTGGTTTTGTGCCTTGCCCCTGACTGGTGAAATGATATAAAATGGCCCCATGTTTTTTTTGTCTAACTCGTGTTGCTGCGTCTCAGCGTTGGAACTACTTAAAGGATTACTCCAACCAAGCCGACTGGTCCTCGGCCGTCTGCTCGCTTCTGTTCGTCATCCCGCTGATGCTCAACGCATCTGGCTCGTGGTACTGGCAAGCGGGCGCCTTGGCCATCCTCAACTCCTGGATCGCGTTCCTCCTGTATCTCCAGAGGTGCACAAATTCTTCGGGGGGGGGAGACACCGTCTGCCTGGTACTTGACTGTAATCGGTCGCCCCGCAGGTTCGAGGGCATTGGCATCTACGTGGTGATGTTGGGCGAGATCTGCAGGACGTTCTATCGCACCGTAATGCTCTTCTTCTTTCTCCTGTTGGCCTTTGCCTTGGCCTTCCACGCCCTGCTGCTTGACCAGGTACAAGTAATGTTCACTCTTGACCACTCCTTTTTACCCTCATATCGTGCTTTAAAAAAAAAAAAAACACACACACATGGGGCAAAAATAACCCAATGATGAGTCAACTGCTTATCGGGCCATGTATTGTTTTGACATTCTCTTCCTTTATCGACTTCAGCAAGAGTTTCAGAACCTGCCGCTGTCCATGATGCAAACGTTTGTCATGATGGTGGGCGAACTCAATTACCAGAACAACTTCCTGGATGCGTATCTGAACAACGAGCTTCCGTTCAGCGGATTGACGTACTTGACTTTTTTCACCTTTGTTCTCATGATTCCCATCGTCCTCGTGAACTTGCTGGTAAGCTGTACAACATACCCCACCCCACCCCGCCCCCAACGCCGCCCAAAGGAAACACAGGGCTCACGCGTCGTTTTCTGTCTTGTAGATTGGCTTAGCGGTGGGAGATATCGCAGAAGTGCAAAGAAATGCCGCCATGAAAAGAATAGCCATGCAGGTTTGTTTGTTCGGAAAGCAACAAGTCCATAGAAGATTTGGCTTCTTTTGTGCTGCTCTTCCCACAAATGCATGTTCCTGACATTTCTTGAATCATCTAAAAATGGTCACAAACAGGCTTCCCAATTTCAACCATCTTTGTAAGAAGCGTTGTGACTAAACACGTATCAGGCCGAAATCACAAACAAGAGTCCATAGAAGATTATCCACATTTTACTTTGACATTTTGCTCATCATTCTTGTGAATAGATGTTCCTTACAAATGAGGTACCACTCCAAAGGGCAGGTAACAGGCCGTCTAACGGCATAATCTACTTTGGGGGTATAGTTACCACTTAGACATAAGCTAGCAACCACACATCATGCTAGTAGCAAACCAGATTGTTCAATCACACTCGCTCCAAACAAGATTCCAGAGATTTGTCGCATTTTAATTTGACATTGTGCTACTCATCCTATCAATACATGTTCCTTAGGTACGATTTTATAGGACAATAAACAGGTTGACAAATGGCTTAACCTATATTGAAAAGACGCATCGCTACCACTGAGCCGCAAGCTACCAAAACGCGCGTCATGCTAGCAACAGAGTCCACAGAAGACTTGTCGCATTTTATATCTGCTGTTGCGCTACTGAAAACGAGCATCTTACGCCAAACCAGATCGATCTTCACACCGCCCTGGAAGACAAGCTGCCCTACTGGTTCATCAAGCGAGCAGACAAACCCTCAGTCATCATCTACCCGAACCGCAAGTGCTCCAAGGTAAACAACGCACTCTATAAATATGAATATGAAGCATTTTGGATATTTATCCCGCTGATTTCCACGTTCTCAACTTCAGCACTTCATAATGTATTTATTCGGAGGCAGCGGGCCGGCCAACGATGAGTGGAAGCGAACGCAGGTGGCGTCGCAAAGATGCTCCGTGCTGGAGGGCGAGCTCAAAAAACAAAAGTGCAGGTAACGCAAAACCACACACTAAACGTTGTCGCCGCACGAACCTTTTCCGATGCGTCATTAGGCTGCGATTGCATGTAAAAGCCAAAGCCGGCAGTTTTTTGATGCATTAGTGGCTCTTAGTGGAAAACGTGGTCATGACACCACTCCAGTAAGTCTCCATTGCAAAATCCTGGAAGTGCGTTAATAATAAAAAATTGGTAGTATGATACCTGTTTGAGAAATGACACGCTGGGATTTTAAAATCTGATACACCAAGTCGGCATCACCCTCCGAAATAGTTCAAGCTCTCAATGTTCTATCCAGGCTGAAAGAGATGTCTGGCATGCTGGAGAAGCAGCACAACCTCCTCAAGCTCATCATCCAGAAGATGGACATTACCTCCGAGGCGGACGAGTACGACGGTCCCGTCAACGTTCGGGGTGCCGCCTGGAAGCGGGTGTGCCCGCCCAAGCGCACCGCCACCGGCGTTTCCCGCTGGGTGCCGCTCATGAAGGCTATCGAGTCCAGGCCCAAATGAGATAGACGACATGAAGGAAGAATCTAAAAATCAATCCGTTGCGTTGAACCTACAGCTGAAGTTTGTTCGCAGGTTTTCAATCGTCCTTTTAAAGGTGCACCTCACACTTTTAAAACCATTGTAAAAACTGTTCGCCTGGTTCTTGCCGTGCATTTCCGCATAGGCAAATGCAGTAAAACCCCACAGCTTCCAAAAATAGTTGACACACGACCGCAATAAATGTCAAAATAAAAATGTTCACAGTGCATAAAAGAATCTTATTCAGTCACACAAACCTGCAAATTAAACAAACACCACCCAACAGAGTTGGAAAACACTCTCCTCATAAAAATTTTGAAAATGTCAGAATACATTTTTAGCCTGTAAACATTTCAAGATGAGCCACGTCAACCTGTGAATAACTGTAACCTTTTCTTTCCAGGCACACCCGCCTCAAAAATATGCAAATCTCAAAATAAAGGCACACAGAGCAAATCACAGCATCATATTTCAATGTAGTATAATACAGGCATCCAGACGCAAACAGAGAGGAATAGTACTCCTCTTGTGACTCGGTAAGATGCTTAATGTTCATTAATTTTTGTAGAGGATAAAGAATCTATGCCTGTGTGTATTGTGGTATTGTCTGCTGCTTCGCCATTTGTGTTCAAATAGCCGTTGCGTTTGAAAACCATGACTAATCATGCTAACCGTTAGCGTGTCGATGGTATTTTGCATTTTGTTTTGTTCGCATTGAGCAAATCCCACGTTCCTGCCGTATAATTCATTCTCTTTGTGTCATGATTAAACTTCAGCTGGGAGTGGCATTAAACAGCTTGACGCCTGCGTGTGCACTGTCGTTTGTACTGATTATAAAAACACTAAATATTTGGAAAATGTGGTCGCGTTCTAGTATCGAGTGAATAAAGGGGCTTGTATTGCCGAAACTAATTTTCCTATTTTTTGACATAAACAATCCATTTATTTATGATTTTTTTTTCCACATTTAATGTGGATTAATTATTTGTTCAACCTGTGACAGGGGTTTATGGGTAAATGAGGGAAAATACTATTATATATTACTATTGTGATTATAATTATCTAAATGTTTGATTTAAACAATTCATTCATTTTGTGGGGTTGGAGGGGTTGTTCGATATTACATTTGTGAAAAAAAAAAATGGCTCCAAAAATATTTTAAATACTGTCATTCACATCACCTGCGAACTAGAATTCCAAATGGACACATTGCATTCCGATTGTGTCTTCAGTTCATTTCCTTCAGTCTTGCCAAAAATCGTTTTTCCTCGGACCCAACTTGCAGGTTGAGAGCCGTTTTGACACATTGGGTGCCAACCCCTTGACTTTCTCCGGTCGTCCACAAAAATTCCTCCAAAAAAGCAACAAGTAGTCGTTCAGTAAAGAATGCAAAACAGCAATGTTAGCCCCGGTTCATGCCAACGCGCCAGATGTCATGGGAACGGCAAACAGCTGCTCCGTGTTCGGAAACACGATCTCTCTGTGAAACCTCCCGCAGGATTAGACGCTTTTGATAAGGTCTTCAAGACATTTCTGTCACCGAAAAAAAACGTTTTTTTTTTCTTCTTGGGTTTGGTGGGGGGTGCGGGGGGCACACTGAAAAAAGGTGAGGGGGGATGAAAAAGCAACTTGTAAAGGTTGTACAGGGGCACCTTAGGATACTAATCTTTTCCCATTCAAATTAATGGAATATGCCATTTATCTGTTCCCCCCAAAAAACATTTTCGTTTTTTTTTTTAAAGGAAAAATAACACTATATAATAACATACTTTATAAAAACATAGACTAAGAATAACGTAAGTAAACAGAATGCAAAGTATCAAAACATTTGCATATGAGGAACGAATGCTACAATCCAATTCGTTGTGCTGCCCCTTCTGCTGCGCCCGTCTTGGCCACCGGATGGCAGTAAAATAGAGTCACACTGACAGACGAAGAAGAGACACCATATGTCACTCCACTGCGTTCAAAAATCTGTTGCTTTGAAAACCACCGCTCTTGATGCTAACCGTTAGCATGTCGATTTTGGATCATTTGTTCGCTTTAAACTAAGTGGACATAAAGGCAAAAAGCTGTGTGATTGTTTGAAATACACTTACAGAATATTAATTGTCGATAGGCACAAATTCCAACCATTTTACTTTTAAAAAAACGAAAGAAATGATTAATCGATTACCACAATAGTTGCCTTTTGCTAATCGATTAGCGTGGCCCCGTAGCGTTGCTTCACTTGGCAGAATGTAGCAGAGTCTGCTTAAGTCGAGGCTGAGCGTGGCTGTTGAGTGGTGGGAGGAGAAAGTGCCCAGATGTCAGCTTTCTTAAATGACAGCCGTCGCCCAGCCACTGGCTTGTTTGTGCTTTCCCACCCCAACCAGTTAGTTTCCCCTGGACGTCGTAAGCGCACACCCCGAGGACTTGCAAGCGGTCATGTCGGCCAGCTGGGACGAGGAGGACCGAAGACCGGAGCACGGAGGGAAAGAGTCACACAGGGACGCAGCCAACGCTCGCGAAAGGGCCAGGATGAGGGTGCTGAGCAAAGCCTTCTCCAGGCTGAAGACCACCCTGCCCTGGGTACCCCCCGATACCAAGCTGTCCAAGTTGGACACCCTGCGGCTGGCCTCCAGCTACATCTCGCACCTCAGGCGACTGCTCCAGGACCACTCCCTGGATGACGCTTACGTGAAGACCGCCAGTCTGGTGTGATACTTTTTTTTTTTTTAAATTCCTTTTCATGGCACGCTTCAAAATCGACTCATTTCTTATTGCGCCGTTTTGAATGAAATTCATTACATGATCGTACTATAATTGTATTTATTGTACATTATAAGGATAACTTTAAAAAATAATCTAACACCGTTTTTCTTTCCCCTCGTCTGTATTTTGATTTAATGTGCGATTATTTTTTTCAAGGACCGCTTCACATGAATTATTCAACAAACACAAGCAATAAATTAATCTGCTTTACAATAAACAATGTTAGATTTATTACACAGAAATGTTTCAGTCTTAGGTGAGGCCAAACAAAAAGGCAAAGGAACTTGCGGTGTTTTTAAGCGTTCACTAAAATTCAAAATCCTGCCAAATAAGTGTGGTGTAAACATAAATCCTGAATCAGATTAGAACTAACATCACTTCAACTTTTCATTTTAAAACATGTAGCATCTGTAGGGTAGTGTTGTATGGCTTTAAGCTAAAGATACTGGAGCACAAACGATGGGATAACACCATGTAAGAATGCCCACAGGCCTATATTCTTTATCATCTGTGAAGAACGACGAATATTAGTGCTGTACTGAGAAGCCGAGAGGAGCTAAGCCTCCAGTAGCTATCTGTCTGCCTCCAGGTGGCCAAGACGCGCATATACATGACGTATTTAAACAGTTACGTATTTGTCCCACCAGACCTGGCCATTTGGGATGTCGGGACACTCGGAGGACGAGGACTCTCATTCCAAGACCACCACGAGACTTTGCGACGCAACAGCTTGAACACAGTATGGCCCCTGCCTGAGCGTTTCGTGGTGACATCACAGACAAAAGACAGTACGCCGGCCCCTCCTATGCTCAGAGAGCCTAAAACTCGCAAGATTTGAGGCTTATTTTGAATAAAACGTTTTGTTTTTTTTTTTTGCTCCCAGGGGTTCCCTTTCACAACAAATGCCAAGTCCTTGTTCTATGGTTATCATTCCACTGTCGCTGAGACATCCTTTCCATGCTCAATTGGTTGAAGTTTGGTGAGATTTGGAGCACATTTGGTGGCGCCAACAAACAAGGGGAAGGGTTTTCATCGGGTGGGAGTTAAACTCGCAGCTGTCGGTGAGATTCCCACAAGCGGGAGCGATGCGAGGCGACTCTCGAGAGACTTTTAATGAGCTTCCTTTCTCACACTGGCACAAACATGAAGAGCCGGCGAGCAAACGGCTCCGATGTACACTTAAAGTGGTGTCATCCATCAGCATAACAAGGTGATGATAGGGACGGATGGAGTGGACCTCCTCTCATGGCTTTTTATTTCATAAGTGCATTGAGACGTCAGGTGCTACAGCACTGACATCTAGTGGGGAAAAAAACAGAAGTGCAAGCTTAGAAAAAAAAATTAAGCATGTGTCCGGTCAGTCATTGGAAGAAGTGTCGACCAAATTAACGGTAAAAGAAGAAAAAGGCATAATTGTATTGTTTTTCAAGCTGATTATTGTTTTTATTATGACAAATGAAAATATTTCTACGACTGGTGATATGTATTCAAAAATATGCAAATGAAAAAAAGATCAAATCAAATAAAAAAGATAAAATCTATCATAAAAAATGAACTATTGAGTTCGAAAACATGAAATGAAATTAAAATAACATTGAAGAGAAGTTCAATGGGGATGTTAATCGATCAGAATTGTCAACTGTGATTTAAATCGCAAATGACATTTTGTTTCAAAATCTATTCGCGTTCACAATGTAATATTTTGATGGAGGTTTTTTTTTTTTTTTGTGTGTGGTGGGGGGCAACCCCCGTTTTTCGTGGAGGGTTATCCCAAATTTTTCCAATATCGTTTCATTTTTTTGGATTGTTTTATTTATCGTGGGCGGAAATTTCACGTCCACATGCCCCACGAATGGCGAGGTATTGATTTGTCGTTTCTTAGGAACAAGTGGCGAGATTTTAATTCGTGTCAAGCACTTAGTGTTTTATGATTGAAAAGGGTTGTAGTCACAAATTTTGTGGGGGGGTTTTATGTGTCTGACGAGCGAGCACACTAACGACTTTCATTCAAATGAATGTTTGTGTACTCACCACTTCCAAAACTTGCTTGCCGGTTTAGCCATTTGGAGCCTTCTATAATTTGTCACATTTTGGATTTAATATGGATTGTAACTCCAGAGAAGAAAAGTGACGTTATTACATTAAAACCAACAAAGAGGTCGTGTATGTGACAACACTGCCATTTGTCTTCAGGTTTGACATGTTCGGTAAAAATTGGATGGAAAACGCTCGTTTCCGTTTTAGGCACCAATTGGCCACAGAAATGAAAATGCAAGCGATGATTGGCCTAATGGATCATGTGACTGGACGTGAATGCGGAAGTAATGTGAACAAAACGCCGGTATTTTGATCTGCGTTAATTGCGCGAAATAAAAAAAAAAACATTTGTGGCGTTATAGGGAATTTGTGTGAACGCGCTTTTTAAATTAATTTTATTTTATGTTGTGTCATTTTAAAAAAATCCATAAAAATAGAATACAACTTATGTAAAATACAAAATAAGAAAAAGTACAATGTCTGACAATAAAAAATAGAATCAATCCAATAAAGCGAAAAAATATTTAAACTTGGTTTAGGGGTGAAATGTGCATAAAATGCTCAAACAAATTAATGTTGATTCAGTTGCTGGTTTGGTCCGTAACATGTCAAAAAAATAGACAAAAATGTTGATCATTGTTTTCCAAAGTAAAAGCAAAAATGTTTTTTGAATTAACACAAATATAATCAATCAGCTTTTATGGAGGACTACAGAGATTGGATATTTACTATTGGAAAGATGAAATTCTGAGCATTCGGACATCTTAAAATCAATATGAGGAATGTAAATGATTCACGAATGATCAAAAATAATTATTAATAATGTCCAGCAGGGGGGAGTGTTTCTCCTTGACTGAACCTCAACTGAACCTGTTGACATTTTGAGAAAATATCAACGCAGGTTTCCAAAGTCACTTTTGGAAATGTTTGTTATCCAATATGCGGTCACTCAGTAGCGCAAATGAGAAAATCCTGTGGCATTTCAATCAGGACTGAGTGAGGCGGGTACGGATTACTTCCTCCTGACTCACCCTATCCCGGAATTTCGGACTACAGCAATACCGGCAAAACTTTTTCACAGCTCTTCTTTGTTTGTTTGTTTGTTTTAATTGTGTTGTTGCTGTTTTTTTTTAAGCTTCTGGCTCCGGATTGGCTCAGATATCCAATTAAGTTGTGACTTACAGTGCCACCTGGCTCCCACTATTTTGATCCTAAAATTATTGATTGGAAAAAAGCCAGCCCTCCGTATTTCTGCCTGAAAGTGGTTTGCTCTGACTTCATGCATCGACAAAGACACTCTGACAAAGGAATCGGCTCCGCGCTCTGGGGCGAATAGCCCATCTGGGTTTTCCCGTCCCTGTCATCCGTCCACCAATGAGCTAGCTGGAAGGGCCGAGCTGTCAACGCTGCAGAGGGATTATCCGCCGCCATTGTTCTCCGAGCCACAATGGCCTTTGTCAAAGGACCTGTTGGCAACTTGGACCACAGTGGAACACACCTGTGGATTAAACCATTGCCTGTGGCACTGATGGCCTAAAAACAGCCACATTTTGGGGTTGCGTGCAAAAAGCAAAAGAGGTGGTGTCCAACTCCTACCTTTTGAAGTTTTGGTCTCTCCACAAAATCATTTCGATCTTCTGTGACTGACTGGCATGATGCATTTCAGTCCATCTGAGCATATCGTTAAAATGACCATCGGCAAGTTAGCTTTTCACGCTAGCTGCATACTTCAATGTTTGAGTGTCTTTTGAGTCTTGTGTTTTTTTTCTGTGTATTAGTCAACAAAAGGTACACTGGCTTTACTCGTTGTAGATTTAGAAGGATGGGAATTAACTTTTTGAAAGACCAATAAAAATTCAAAGTCGACAATTCAAAAGGCTGTTTGGTCACACCTGTGTTCAAACCCGCCCCTCCTTTCTTCGTCATTGCTGCCGCGATCGCCGTCATGAAGTCACGTTTTACACGAGCGGCGTGAAATCGCTTTGATTTCAAAAACGGTCACGGAAAGTTCAAGCCTCTTAAAAGTTTGGAAAGCACGGATTTTGTTTGACAGGCTACGTTATTTCTCAAGACTAGGCGCGCAAAGTGAAGAGATTGCATTTGGACATTTGTATTTGCTGATTGGACTGACAGCAACACACACACACACACACAAAAATGTCAATTATACTTGGAATAATAAGTTCCAGAGTTCAAACTGTCATAAAAACCATTCATACCTGAACAGGCAACGTTTTAAGTAACATTGTGACATTATTCATTTCCATACAAAATAAGTAATAATTGTAATTAAAAAAAAAAAACACGCTTTAGGTTACTCCATGTTCTTTAAAATGTGATTTTAACGCTATGCTATAGTGTTTATTGGCAGTTTTGTTAATATTACATTACATCTAATATTAACTGTTGTTTTATCAACCCCCCCCCCACTCATCCATCATTGACTACAGTAATTACAATTTTTACTTTTGTCACTTCAAATATTGAGTACATTGCCTACAATGCTTAGCTTTTCACAAAAAAAAAAAAAAAAAAGAGGCTAAGTGCTAGCTTATGGCCGCTCCAGGTCAAAGTTTACATTTCATATTATAAACATAAAATAGGAAGAATCGAAAGTTGGTTTTATCACCAAACCACCACGTTTACTAGCTTGACGCTAACGCACAACACGAAATGCCATAGACGAGCTAAAGAAAATAACGTCGATATGGCCAGAATGATGAACAACATGTGCGGGCTACTCGCTCATTCAACAATATTCACGAGGCATGAGGATGCCCCCCCGCGCCCCACCAACCCCACCTCAGATGGACGCCTGGGGCCCCGCTACGCTGTGAGTCCCCCACCCTAACCTCCGCCCCCCCAGCCCTTTGGACACCACTGCTGGACATCCTCTGTTAATCAATCAAATAATGAGATGCATCCATTTCAAAGGTCCAACATGTGATGATGACGATGATGATGACGATGATGACGAAAGGTCTCTTTGGGGTCTCGGCTGAATGCGCCGAGACGCGACTGACAGCTCCATCGGCACAGTTAACACCATTTGATGGATCACCTGTGTGTGTGTGTGTGTGTGTGTGTGTGTGTGTGTGTGTGTGTGTGTGTGTGTGTGTGTGTGTGTGTGTGTGTGTGTGTGTGTGTGTGTGTGTGTGTGTGTGTGTTCATAGATTTATGTGTGTGGGATACCCAAGAGAGATTATGTGGAGGGTTGGTACTTTGTGGATCAGATGGCGCGTTAATTACTCCGCCTTCAAAAAGGGGGGCTGGGGTGGCGGGGCTCCGAGCAGGATGTGGCCACGGGCGGGGACAGACAGGTGAACGCGGTGGCGTGATTGAGCTACAGTTAACTAGTCTGCCAAGTAACAAGTGACCAATTAAATGTGTGTTGTTTTTAGCGCCATTCATTTTATCATGATGTATATTTTTTTTTGTTTCATTGTCATTGTTTATTATGTATGTACTTTCTTAAAAAATACAGTAATATTCATAATTGCTGCTCATTTGTATTTTTTTTTTGTTTTGATTATTTGCAGAGGATAAAGAATATATGACCGTGAGTAAGTCCGCAAGTGAAGTAATGACAATCGTAACTGTTGCTATTTTGGTCTCTTTTTGAAGACAAATCCCGTGCGAACGTCAAATAAATAAGATAACACAGCAAAAACAAAGTTGCGTTGAAGTGTTTGCAAGCGGCACTTCTGCGGCCAACAAACAGAAGGCCGCACAATCTTTGAACCCACTCGACCTTTCACCACCCCCTCTCCCCCCACTGCCACCACTTCACAAAGAAACACACAAGTGTTGGTGGTAGGGGGGGCTTCTTCTTCTTGCGTCCGTCACATCAAAGCTTGGTGGAGGTGCGGAGGAGAGGGAGGGCAGCTGACCCCCTGGGAAGGGTGCACCAGGAGAAGCCCGCTGTATGCCTGCCCGGGTGTGTGGAAAGAGACTATCAGGCAGCGCCAAGGACGGCCCCCGGGTGAGGTCGCTGAGTGGGGTGGGTGGGTGTCAGGGGGGGCTTCTGATGGAGACATTAAATCTGCGGAGGTTCCTCAAGGCCATGCGTGACAAGAGCGGCTTGCTTGTGTACTCTCAACACACACACACACACACACACACACACACACACACACACACATACGGGCAGACCTTTTTCATCAATCATTTTGCTTCCTCTGTCTTTTTGGAACCTGACATTGATTTATTTGTGATACTTGATGGATGTATATATATAGATAGATAGATAGATATGTCTATATATACATATATAGATATATTTTCTGCCTAGCAACAAGTGACTAAGAGCGTGTGAAGCCACTGTCATTGTTTTCAATATTATGTGTAATACAGTAGTCGGAATCGGACAAATTCTACCTCGTAACAAGTGACCAAAAAAACGTAATGCTAGTTTATGAAGTTAAAACAATTTTCATTCGCAATATCGGAATTTTTATTTTTACCTACAACAGAATAAAACATAATATCATAAAAGTCGTCTTGTGACACGTGAGCGTCTTCTCATCGGCCGCTGCTTTTTTTTTCTTCATTTTTATGAAGTTGTCTCTGTCTCTGGAGTGCCACAAAAACACATTCATGGGCTTGTGTCTCAGCCTGGTTACTTTACAAGGTGACAAAGTTGAGCCGACGACGACCAAGCGCAGCTGGCATGGCTGCGAACGCGCCTCCGTGGCATCATCATCGAGGGCGAGGGCGTTTGAAGCGCTATGAGTTTTTCCCACATGGTCCACTTTAATGAGCGTGTGGGAAGCAGGAAGTGAGGAGGACACGTGCGTTTTTATTTCACAGACAACATGAAAACGGGAGCAAAATCAGACAAATTAAAAATGACTGAAGAGAGGAAGAACAAACACACACGCTACCAAAAATGTGTTTTTTGTACAGACAACATGAAAACGGGAGCAAAACCAGACAAATTAAAAATGACTCTGAAGAGAGGAAGAACAAACATACACGCGACCAAAAATTTGTTTTTTGTAGCTTGTCTCAGCAAAAATTAAGATGATCTTGAAACGCTTCCTGCTTTCACTCTTCTTCTGTCAAATGTACACAGCGTTAAACACGATGGTGTGCCACCATCTAGTGGCCTACAGTGGAATCACACCCAAAATACACCAAAACTTGTAACTGTAGATAATAATAATAATAATAATAATAATAATAATAACAGAAATAATGAATAAATAAATCACTTAAAAAATCTGTGACAAGCGCATGAGTTGAATTTGACAAAATGTAAGCTAAAAAAAAAAAAAATCCCAAAAATACACTTCAGTTGGGACACTGAAGTCGGTGCAAGTCTTAAAACATTCGGATTAAGATGGGAGCATTTGACTTGCTGTGTTTATGGTCTGCGATTGGCTTAATGGGGAGAAGGTTCCTTTGATGGTGCTCCAACAATGCTCTTGACGCACCATGACGTGAGCCCCCCCCCCCACCTCCACCATTAGAATAAAACCTCCACCTCGCTAGACCTCTTTATGCCAGCATCAAAGGATTAACGCTGCGTTTTGTCCTCGCTCTGGCTTTTTGCGACACAATGAGATGATTGCCACTCCCTGCTATAACTGAGTAAAAGTGGAGTGGTATTGCTTTCCGTTTGGCAGGTTTCGACTTCGCTTACATTTGCATAATTAAAGTAAGTCCCCCTCCAAACACTTTAAAAACACATTTGCTGTGAGCGAGTAAGAGCAATAGATAAGACAAGAATATTGTACAATCAGTCTCACAGTGTATTGGTTCCTCTCCGTTTTTTTTTTCATAGCAACAAACGTATCATCTCATAAAATTAACCTCGCTTTGGCTCTTTCCGTAGGCATAAAAACAAGGATTAAAGAGGATGACATTCAATAAGGTTCAACAAGAACTAGGCTGTGCTGAAACTTCCTGGTTTCATTGTTCTTTCAAATTTACAGTCTCAAACTGAAGAGTACACCACCATCTAGTGGTAGACAGTGGAATGACATCCCCCAATAAAAGGTGAGACGAAAATAGAGTATTTAACTGTTCCAAAAACAATTCTTGAAATAGCGGGAAAGTGATCCAGAACCGATGGAGGGAGTTTCCTGTCATGTATAAAAACTAGGGCAATGCAATGCTTTTTTCAGGAAAGCACAAGTATGAGTCGTCACTCGAGTACTCATCGATACCAAGTACTGATAACTCTAGATACCTCTAATAGTTTTGAAATGTCAAATTTTATTTGACCAAAATTGTGACCAGAACTTTCTTTCAGATGCAGACGATGATTCACCAATGTGTCAAGCTGTCCACAGTAATAGCACCAACTAGTGGCGAGGAGGACTTATTATCAGATTTTGTTTTGCATTAGGTCTCAGTTGCTCTCGACATTTTAAAACAAAATCAAATGAACAAGCTGCTGCTTGAGTGCCGACGAGAAATTGTGAATGAGTTCAAATTTGAAAAAAAAGAAACTTTCGAAGAAACATGTAATTGTAATTATGACAGTAGAAAAATATTCCCGAAACTAAATACTGTGCATGTTTGAATTATTATTGTGGTGAGGGGCAGTTTTTTTCCCCCCATTCTTATTGGTCATCTTTTTCTTCTGCAGCCACCCGTGTCGTCTTTGCGGCGCTGTCATCCATCTCCGACGATAGGGGGGGGAGGGGGGGCACAATTGTGAGACAAATTGAATCCGATAGGAAACTGAGGGCGGCAGCCACAAAAAATACGAAAAAAAAAAAATGGAGCTCTGCAACACAGCCGAGACTGTCGGGTATACTCCTGCAGTATCAATCCTGGATGAGTTTTACTTCATCCAGAAAGGGAGGCGGGCCTTGATAAATGGCGTGGGCGCACCCCTGGGGGCCTCTCCTGTTTAAGGAGCGGCGAGGCGATTTATGAGCAGGCCCTCGCAGGCTTCACAGTGATTAATGGCCACCGTCCTCCGTGGCTGTTTGGATAGGCAGATAACATCAAAGCGGCCTGCTGCTCGTGTTAAGAAAATACTGCATTGTGGGTCAGTGCAAATGAAGCCGAGAGGGGATCGCTTGTGTTTTTGGATGGCACACCCCCACTCGGCATATACTCGGGGGGTCACGGATGACACATGCAAATGAGTGATGAGCTGTTAACGTTGGCCTGCGCTTATGAGAGGAGGCGAGCAGCCGTCACACAAATTTGTACCTAATGAGCAGTTTAGAGATATGTGCACACCCCTCACGCGCCCCCCCCCCTTCCGTGCCATTGATCACGCACTTGATGCTTGAGGGGCTCACACTTTGATGTCTTTCCCCCAAAATGTTTGGGGGAAATTCATTTTTGGATGTTTGAAATCAGAAACGCGAAGTAGCCAAGCCGCCTCGGATAAAACGATCTAAAAGTAGAGGAGGCCGCTGGATTTTGTCATCCCTGACTGCCCCCACTCAGAAAGCGCATTTAAAAAAAAAAAAGCCCACCATTTCTCTGGCCAAGCGCGGCTAATCGTCCTGTGAAACTAAGCAAATTGCGGCGGACTCGACTGAGCCGCCGCGTCTCCTTTCCCGCCTCCCTCTCCGGTTTCCTGCCATCGAGGTGCCCTATCGCCATGCCAAACCACCACCACCCCACCCTCCGACCCTCCCATCCGCACTCCCGTCTCTCAATAGAAGACTGAGATTTCACATGGCGGCTGAACAGGTGTCCCCTCTGTCCTGCCGCCACTCGCGGGGGTCCGGCCGTCGGGAGGAAGCATGGGAAAGGGCAGACGCAGCCCACGCGGGTTCTACCCCAGCGGGCAGGTAACAGTGAGCCTTTCAAGGAAGTTTGCCCTTCTCACCGCTCCAGCGAAGTTCAGAAGTTTGATGTGCAAATGCGATAAGAAGAAGAGGAGGACTTGTTGATTTGGCTTCGTCCCGTGAACGTGCGCGCCACCAGGGGGCGATGTGCTGAAGACTTCTGGAAAGGTTTGATTGACATCTGGGGTGTCAAACTCATTTTTGTGATGCCATTTTCCTTTGGAGGGCCGTTATGACTGAAACCATATTAAAAAAAAAAAGTCAATAATAACGGTTTATTCAACTATTGTTGAAGTTACTGTAATGAGGAGTTTGGTCACAAGATGCATACATGTTTCTAATGGATTAAATATGAGAATTTTAAATTTTGGGAGAGATTTTAGGTGGCATCATAGAAGTTGACGTTTGATTTGCTTTCGCGGGCCACATAAAATGATGTAGCGGGCCACATCTGGCCCCCGGGCCTTGAGACTGACACCTGTGATTTACATATGAACTTTTTTTTTAAAAGTGCCGCTCTTTGAGTTTTTCGTGTTGTTTGTGTTTCACTTTGTCCCTTTATTAGATATGAGAATTTGAAATTTTGGTCGAGATTTTAGTAAGCATGACGGAAGTTGACGTTTGATTTGCTTTTGCGGGCCACATAAAAAGATGTGGCGGGCCACATCTGGCCCCCGGGCCTTGAGTTTGACACCAGTGATTTACAGATCACTTTTTTATTTATTTATTTTTTTTAAGTGCTGCTTTTTGAGTATTTTTTCTTTCTTGTGTGGTCACTTTATCCCTTTGTCCTTGCAAATCTTGCTCAAATTCCGCCCGGCGACACATGACAGCGGAAACGTGATGACACAATTGAATTGAAAAATCAGAAAGATGCTTTATGCTTGGATTTAAAATGTTCATTTCATATATAATAAATCAACAAAATAGCAGGCCTGCAAACCGAGACCCTGCAGCGCAGTAGGTTTGAACGTATTATGTTATATTTTCTGGCCTCTATTTGTTTGGGGGGGAACATGTGAAAAGCGCATATGTACTGCTGCTGACAGCTTCACGGCGAACCCTAATTTATGTCTTCCCCTTTCATCCATTCTTTTTAAGTCGACGTTGAAGAAGAACAACACGGAAGATGTTACTAGGCCCGGGCCCTTAAAGCTGTCCTCACCTTTCCGCCTGATCCCGGTCGGGTCGCTGGAGACGCTTGCTTTCCTCGGTCCCGGCTGATTTACGACATGTTGAGAGAGAGAGAGAGAGGGATGAGGATTATTGATCCTGGGAATCAGCGGCCAGGATGGGATGGTGAACACGAGAGGGGAAGGGAGAGGGAGGCCATTAAGGCTGCGGGAGTGGAGGGCGAGGGGATTTGAGGGCCTCTAATGGAATCAACTCCTCCATTAGCCCGTGGGAGCTAACTGATGCTATCCATCCCCCCCTGCCCGCCTCGCCTCGACGCAACAAAGTCCCTTTTGTCCTCTACCCTGGCACGCCGTCCGTCACATGGGATGCAGAGCAATTGGAAATTATTGCTGCGTCCTGTGACGGCATCGTTTGGTGCTTGGTATTTTATGTCAGGCACCTTGTCGGGCAGCTATATTTGGCATTTATTTCATTTCTCCGACCAAACGAGACTTACATTCGTGATGAAGATATCAGACCGAAATATCTCCGGGAGTAAAATATGTGGAATTTTTCAATGACAGCATCCAGTAAGATGTAGCGATTTATTAAATTGATCGGAAAAGAAAGAAAAGTGACGGGAAGGAGTCATGTTGAATACATCACGTCGAGGCCCGCGGGATTTACATCACTGCGATATCGTTGCGCGTTTATGGTCCAAACATGAGCGCTTCAGCAACAACATGCCGCCACGCATAAACATCACCTCGCTTTTATTCCAAAGGTGGCTGACGGCGCTCATAAAAACATCAAGCCGTGCCATCATGATGTAATCAGCGTCTCATTTGCTCTGTTTACTTTTAGCCCGTGATTGCGCTCGGGTGACTCATACGCAGAAAGAAAGCGAGAAAAGAGAGCCATCGGTGGGGAGATTCTGTTTTAAGAGCCAACCTTGCCTATTGTTTGGCCGGACACTTTGAATGGATAACCAGATGGAGTCAGAGTAGAGCAGACATGTCTCGTCGAGCCCTCTTTACCTGGGAAACGTGTGGGTGGCGAGTGGCGAGTGGAAGGAGTGGGGGGGGGGGGGATACAAATCAAGGATTTGAACTACGCCAGCAGACATTTTAAAAAACCCTTGGCGTGCGTTTTACAGCGTCTGACCTAAACACAAGCATGAGTACATGCGAACACACAAGCTTGGACACACAGCGGCTCAAAAGAACTGCTTTTGTCATCATGTATTTTTTGCCGGGCCTTCAATTTTAATATTGTGATTTGTATACAGCGGTAACTCTCGACTTACGAACGTCTCTTCATACGAAATGTTCAAGTTACGAAACGCCTCAACGGGAAAATATTGTCTCTTGTTACGATAGAAATTTTCAGATACGAAAGGTAAAAATACACGAAGGGCTGCTACTCGCAGCTTTGAGTTTCATGAACGCAACATACTTGTAGCTGCTCTGCAATTGGCTAATACCGAGCATCATCCTGGCATCCCATTGGCTAAGAGGGAACTCTACCGTATGTTTGTAGATAGATCGAAATTTGTCGATGTAACGTCCTCGTCATTCGCCCCTCGGGCCATGAAGTGTTCTGATAGTTTTGCGTAAATGTGGATCACCTAGAAAAAGTGTTCAGCAGTCGGGCGATCGCTCACTATGCTGATTTTTTTCCTCGGACATTTTCGTAGGAAAACATCAACATACTTAGGAAATTAATTGGCTCTGGAAGAAATTTCTGAACTGGAAAAGTTTGTAAGTAGAGACACGTTTTCCATGTAAATGCCCTAATCCGTTCCAAACCCCCCCAACAATTCTGACACATTTTGATGCATTTTTATGCTTTACAAAACATTTGTGTCAGAATTGTTGAGGGGTTTGGAACGGATTAGGTCATTTACATGGAAACCGCGTCTCTACTTACAAAATTTTTCTAGTTCAGAAATTTCTTCCAGAACCAATTAATTTCCTAAGTAGAGGTGCCACTTTTTAACAATATCACTTTTGTTGTTGGAGGGTTTTTTGGGCTTGAAAGAAGAAACAACTCATGTCACTTAACTGACATGTGTCAAGGATGATTCGACAAATGATTATTTTCAACTGCCGTGCCAGCTTTTTGGTGCAGCTGCACGGGTTGCGCCGTCGAAATCGACGCCCTGATTGGTCGTGATGAGGCAGAGCGACGCTGGCAGCAGGACGGCAGCTGAAGTTTAATTTCGAGGCCCTTAACTGCATTCGTTGCCTTCGCTGAATGCAACCTCTCCTCTTCGCAAGAATCCAAGCTTTGGAAAGAGCGCCATTGCTGCTCCTCCATCAGAGTCAGATGCCGAGTCCCTCCAGACCGAAACCACATCAGCTGTCACCCGTCTCGTTTCCTCTCTCCAATTATGTCTCAAACGGGGGACAACCAAAAAGCAACCATCGAAATTCCTGCGAGCTCGGGCCCATGAGCCAAAACCGGCATCTGTTTTTATAACCGGGGGAAACCCCCCTTTTTTTTCTTCTTGTCTGCTTATGACAGAGTGCCGCAGCTAGCACGCTGGTGTGACGAGCGGTGGGAGGGGCGGGGCCAGAGGACTGTTATTCTGGTTTTGGTGAAACAAAGCCACCAGCTTGTCAAACAACGGATGCCTACGGCGTCCTGAGACCATTGCTGTTGTTGTACTTGCGGTCCTGAAGAAACGTCGGCGAATTAGCGTAGCGCCAAAGCAGCGGAAGCAAAAAAAAAAAAAACAAAAAAAACATTCCGACGTGGGTCAAGCGGCGGTCAGACATTTGCATATTGGATGTGTGTCAGTAAAAAGCAGCTGGATAAGACTGCAACACAGAGCCTGATGATTGCAACTCGTTCAAAAATTGACAGGCTCAGTCGTTCCCCAACAACCCGAGGTTGGTAGTTCGATCCCCGGCCATTGCGACCGTGTTGAAGTGTCCTTGAGCAAGATACTGAACCCACCAGTTGCTCCTGATGCTGCGTCATCAGTACGTGAATGAGCTCGCTGTGACTTAAATCTCTTGATAGATACTCGAAAAATGTTGGAGCATGATCCTAAAAATAAATGAAAGAAATCAATTGAGCGTTCGCTATTGACTGGTCATCCTCCAAATCTCGACCAGTCCAAAATCTGGACAGAAATTTTTAAACGATCGCCAGGCTTCAGACGACAGTCCAAAAATCCACGGGATTCTCGCTTCACTGGAATTATTTTTTTTTTAAATCTTGCCTCCAATCATTAAAAAAAAAAAAAAAATTTAAAAATCACAAAATCTTTCACAAATCCCAACTGACAATTTTTAAATCAACAGAACTGTTGCCTGAACCAAAACAGGATTCTCACCTGACCCAAAAGGCACAAATTCTTTCAAAAATCCTCACTGACAATCCCAAAACCCTTCATAAATCTTCACTGATCATTCCCAAATCCAAACAAGACTCTCGCCTTGACAACCGGACCCCAAGTCCCATCAATTCCTAACCCCTAAAACAGGAAGTACAAACCCCACCGCAACAAACCCACCAAAACACACTCAAGGGTGAATCTTCTTGATCCTGGCTGAAATGATGTCTAAGTGAGGTGGGCTTGGCGGTTGGCGTGACGATGGTTGGAAGGCATATTTGAGTGTGACCCGGTTTTTGCCAACGGTGGCCAATCAGTTCCAGCAGGACTCCTCTAATGGGCTGGGTGGGCCCTCACCTGATTACAGTCAATTGTGGCGATTTCCTGCCTCCGAGCCTCGCATATGGATCGAGTGAGGAGTCGGCGGCGGCAGCGGCGGCGGCTGAGGGACTACCGTTTCTCTCCGCTACATACAAAATTTGCTCTCTCGCTCTTTTTTTTTTTTTTTTGTAAGGAAAAACCAAAAACTTGTTTTTACTGACTCTGCTGTCAAAATAGCCAACCGACATTCCGAGAATGAAAATGAATCTAACCTCACTCAAAAAATCTTGAACCATCCCCACATATATTAAAAAAACACAATTGACAATTACCAAAAAAAAAAAAAATCAATTGACAAAATCCATCCTCCCCATTTTTTTCAGTCTCAATCAAAAAAAACAACAACAAAAAAAATCACAACCAGCAAAAAATAAAGAACATTCGAAAAATTGGCCAGCAATCTCAAAATGTCTGTAAAAAGTTCTGAACAAAAATATGACCACTCATTGGAAAATCAATCCAAAAACATCTCAAAAACCAAACCGAAAAATCTTGAACGTCAAAAGGACCTTCACCGGAAAATCTCATTCTTTCAAGAATCTCCACCAACATTCTCAAATTCTCGAATGAAATCTCAACCCGTACTCAGAAAGTCCTTCAAAAATCTTGACCAAAAATCCCCACATCAAACACCAAGAAGCTTCACCCAAAAATCTCCAAACCATTCAAAACATCTTGACCAAAAATCTTTCAAAAATCTCTGTCTTTCCACAAAATCGGAACAATCCTTCAAAAATCTCCACGGTCATCCCCAAATTATTTAAATCTCAACCATGGATTGGAAAATCATTCCAAAATCTCGAACAACAATCTGAAAATCTTTCAAACCTAAACCCTCAACGACATCTTTCCAAAATCTCAGCCACGTATCCCATAGCCTCGTTTGATACTCTGAAAAGTCTCGAACCCTGATCAGAAATTCTTCAAAAATCTTGACCGAAAATCACCCAATCCCTAAACTCTTGCGCCACCCGAAAAAAAGCTCCAAACCTTTCAAAAAATCTCCACAACCATCCTCCAAATCTAAACTAGGAAACCTTCAATACTGGCTAACAGTTTTGGCTAACAGTTTCGGCCGATCATACAAAAATATTGTTTTTTTTTCATTTCTTCTTCTTCTTTTTCATTCGTCTTTTAAAACTGAACGGGACTGCACTGTTGAAAAAATAAATAAATACATATATATCATAAGACAAAATTAATCATTTTCAGTGAGGTCTGTCGCTCCGCGAAAAATAAATGAGCCTGTCAGCGTATCCCGTCCGCTTTTTGTCCACCGCCAGCGAACTGAGCCGACAGGAAGGAAGAACGCAATGAGAAACACATCGCGTGGGCTCGGACTGTTATTAATAAATAGTGCTTCGCCGCTGAGCCGTGACA